GGGATAGCTGGCTTCTGTATTGCCAGCAGGGGGGCTGCCTGTAATTACAGGTGGTACCCCTGCTGGCTAGAAATAAAATTAAAATAAAATTTATAATTGTAAAAAATATATATATATACTTAGATCATATATATAGATCATATATATAGGTTTATACCTCTTCAGCGCCATGGGAGGGTGGCGCGAGGGAGGGACGCCCTGCAGGATTCTATTGTGCCAGGAAAACATCTTTGTTTTCCTGGCACTATAGAATCCCTTTAAGTCACTTTTCTTTCTGTTTATGCAGCCCTAGTAACACCTTTCCTGGGTGTGACTCACACAGCCAATTTTAATTTTTTAAAAGGTTTTCAGTCAGGTCTGACAACACAGAGTGTTTGTAGAGTTTTAGAATGGTTGCATCTGCTCTGTTAATTAAACTTTAATCACACACACAAGAAGCTCATGTATGCTTTAACAAGCTAGTAACATAGCAGGAGATAAGAAATTCTAAAGCAAACACTCTGTTCTGACCCGACAGAATTAAAAAAAAAAAAAAAAAGTAAGAACACACTGTGCAACACAGAAAATGTAAACATTAGATTAGTCTTAACAGAAAATATGTAGCGAGACTGAGTAAGTCACATTCAGGGGATGTGTGGCTGAGGAAGCACAAACAAAGGGATTTAACGCCTAAATGGCAGAGAACTGACAGTTCGATCGCAAGGCCATGATCTATACACCAAAACCACTCCATTAAGTTAATTATAAAATGCTTTATATATGATAAAGGGAGAAACCCCCAAAAGCTTCTCATTCCAAATTTCTGTTAATCCAGTAAAACAGCCAGCCAGTCAGATACAAGCTGACTTTGATGATGGGAAACTTGATTTATAAATTAGTAGACTCACCGCTGTATTCACGAACAGATGTCCTTGGGTGTTGACTGAGTGATGAAAGTACAGTATCTGGGGATATAGCTACAAGCTTGTCCCAAACATCTTCAGTATAGAAATCCACAGTGTGGGCATCTGAGATCCGAAGTGTTGCCTGTAAGAATTGTACCAACTTTCTAATAGCTTCCTTTACCTGGTCTGAGCTTATTTCTGGCAATTGAGTTAACATCATACTGAAAAAATAAGATAGAGCACAATTAAAATGTACAATTGTGTTAAAACTGACAACAGTAACAGAAGACATAGACTACACAAAGAGTTACAATATAATTATTTAGTATAGGGGATCCTGCTTATTTCAGCGTCTCTATGCCTGTAACAGATTTATAGATATGGTGCTAAATTACTAAACTAGACAACCACATAATATATGATTTAATGTTGGCATTAATACATATTTTCACTAATGACCTATTAATATTTAGTTTATTCGTGAACCTTTAGTAAAAATTAAGTTTCACTATACAGATACCTGTTGGAAATTCAACAAGGACATGCAAATATTAGGTGATCATATCTAAACTCGGGGGAGGGAGAAACAATCTAAAAGTATAAAGTAAAAGCGAATCATGCTTCCTCCTCCAACCAGTCAGTCTGTCCTTAAATGTCCCTGATGAATTCCTGTCAATTACAGATTTAGCACTAAAATCTGAATTGTAGTGAAATGAAATCTAGACTAATATATAAAACCGTGTGAATGTTTACCAACAACAAGGATTATTCACTAAACGGTGCACAGCGAGCTATAAGAGCAGAATAGCAAATGTAATGCTAAGGTTGCTTAACTAGAAACAAAAGTGATTTGGAGGATGATTCCAATGTACATATATTGGCTAACAGTTTGCAGTTGGGCTTCCAATTCACTCCAATTCTGTGTTTAGTACACAAACCCCTATATAAGTGAATATATGTGTTCCATGACCAGGTACTTACATGTTTATGGACAAGTTGTGTGTGCATATATTGTTTTAGATAGTGCCTACTATTCAATAAATTACTAAAAACTGGTTGAAATGTGCATGTTATCCCTGTCCAATACTGAACGTAAAAAGAAACTGCGGCAGCAATAGAGCAGTGTGAATGACATCAGCAATGTGTGTTCACACGTGCACAGCACAGCAGCCTCTCCACGCCAGACATTAATAATCGCTTGTCAGACTGCTGTTGCATTAGACTATAGTGTCAGCATAGATAGCTCTCTGGTAAACATCTTGGACATGTGCAACAAAGTTACACCCCTACTCCCTCACTGCTGCTTGTATGTTACTTAGTATCAAATAGCTACACTCAGCGACTTCTAATCAGCCATGCAGAAACTGCACTGTCACATACAACAGGCGTTTAATGAAAATCTCACTAGTGCACAGACTCATTACAGTGCATTATAACCTACATTGCAGTACATTATAACCTACATTACAGTGCATTATAACCTACATTGCAGTGCATTATAACCTACATTGCAGTACATTATAACCTACATTACAGTGCATTATAACCTACATTGCAGTGCATTATAACCTACATTGCAGTACATTAGAACTTTCATTAGAGTGCATTATAATTTACATATAGAGCATTATAACTTATATTGTAGTTCATTCTAATTTTCATTTCAGTGCATTATAAATTACACTACATAAATATCATCATCATAATAATACATTGCATTATAAGTTACATAGCAGAGCATTATAAGTTACATTGCAGAGTGTTATAAGTTACATGGCAGAGCATTATGATTTACCTGCCTTCCACTTAGTATTGCAAGGCCCACTAATATTATATTATTATTATTATTATTATTAATTGTTCACATGCTGATGGGCAGAGCATGCCCAGTGCAGTCATGGGACAGGCAGGATTACACTGTTGCAAGTATGAAAGCTGGTGACCAGGGCAGCACTGTTTATGCAGACATTGAGAGACCAACAAAACGTGTCGGCTAAGGCCATCCTAAACCTAACCATGCAGCTCAGCAGACAGAGAATCAATGTTTCTATTACATTCAATATACAGACAGAGAATCAATGTTTCTATTACATTCAATATACAGAGAATCAATGTTTCTATTACATTCAATATACAGACAGAGAATCAATGTTTCTATTACATTCAATATACAGACAGAGAATCAATGTTTCTATTACATTCAATATACAGAGAATCAATGTTTCTATTACATTCAATATACAGATAGAGAATCAATGTTTCTATTACATTCTATATACAGATAGAGAATCAATGTTTCTATTACATTCTATATACAGATAGAGAATCAATGTTTCTATTACATTCAATATACAGACAGAGAATCAATGTTTCTATTACATTCTATATACAGATAGAGAATCAATGTTTCTATTACATTCAATATACAGATAGAGAATCAATGTTTATATTACATTCAATATACAGATAGAGAATCAATGTTTCTATTACATTCTATATACAGATAGAGAATCAATGTTTCTATTACATTCAATATACAGACAGAGAATCAATGTTTCTATTACATTCTATATACAGATAGAGAATCAATGTTTCTATTACATTCAATATACAGATAGAGAATCAATGTTTCTATTACATTCAATATACAGACAGAGAATCAATGTTTCTATTACATTCTATATACAGATAGAGAATCAATGTTTCTATTACATTCTATATACAGATAGAGAATCAACGTTTCTATTACATTCTATATACAGATAGAGAATCAATGTTTATATTACATTCAATATACAGATAGAGAATCAATGTTTCTATTACATTCAATATACAGACAGAGAATCAATGTTTCTATTACATTCTATATACAGATAGAGAATCAATGTTTCTATTACATTCTATATACAGATAGAGAATCAATGTTTCTATTACATTCAATATACAGATAGAGAATCAATGTTTCTATTACATTCTATATACAGATAGAGAATTAATGTTTATATTACATTCTATATACAGACAGAGAATCAATGTTTCTATTACATTCTATATACAGATAGAGAATCAATGTTTCTATTACATTCTATATACAGATAGAGAATCAATGTTTCTATTACATTCTATATACAGATAGAGAATCAATGTTTCTATTACATTCTATATACAGGCAGAGAATCAATGTTTCTATTACATTCAATATACAGATAGAGAATCAATGTTTCTATTACATTCTATATACAGACAGAGAATCAATGTTTCTATTACATTCTATATACAGATAGAGAATCAATGTTTCTATTACATTCAATATACAGATAGAGAATCAATGTTTCTATTACATTCAATATACAGACAGAGAATTAATGTTTATATTACATTCAATATACAGATAGAGAATTAATGTTTATATTACATTCAATATACAGATAGAGAATCAATGTTTATATTACATTCTATATACAGATAGAGAATCAATGTTTATATTACATTCTATATACAGACAGAGAATCAATGTTTCTATTACATTCAATATACAGATAGAGAATCAATGTTTCTATTACATTCTATATACAGATAGAGAATCAATGTTTCTATTACATTCAATATACAGATAGAGAATCAATGTTTATATTACATTCTATATACAGATAGAGAATCAATGTTTCTATTACATTCAATATACAGATAGAGAATCAATGTTTCTATTACATTCAATATACAGACAGAGAATCAATGTTTCTATTACATTCTATATACAGACAGAGAATCAATGTTTCTATTACATTCTATATACAGATAGAGAATCAATGTTTCTATTACATTCAATATACAGATAGAGAATCAATGTTTATATTACATTCAATATACAGATAGAGAATCAATGTTTCTATTACATTCAATATACAGATAGAGAATCAATGTTTCTATTACATTCAATATACAGATAGAGAATCAATGTTTCTATTACATTCAATATACAGACAGAGAATCAATGTTTATATTACATTCAATATACAGATCCCCCAGTCACATTCTCCACCATCACACAGTGAGTTAACAATCGGTGATCTGCTAGCTCTGCCTGGCGGGGCTGCCAGGGACACGGTGTGACGCCATCAGTGTGCGCCGAGCGAGCTGCAGGCATGGCTACACCGGGGTTCTCAGCCGTGAAGCCTGGCAGGAGCTGGGGGCCGGGGAGAGGCAGAGGACGAGGCGGACCGGGAAGGGGGGCCCTAAAAGGAATGGCGGCTGAGGGATCTGGGGTCCCACCGTCTCCGGGAGGTCAAAAAAACAAAAAGTCTAAACGGAGATGGGTACACCCTGATAGGAAAGCCTTCCCGGGCAGCGCGAAGGAAGGTAAGCTGTATGGGGTCCGGGCTATGGATACCCACCTTCCAGCTGGCTGGCCACGCGTCATTAGAGTGGTAGTCCTAAAACACTGGGTGGGTAAAACATTTGGCCACCTCTGCTCTCTGTGTGACACCCCCCCAACCCCCTGATAATGGCTATCTTACTCAATGAGCTAGCCTCCATTGCAGGGCTCGCTGATTAAGGTAAACTAGAAAAATGGTCAGAGTTGTGGCAACTGACATTTAATGTGGATAAGTGCAAGATAATGTAATAGAGCAGCAGGAAATGCTAGCAGAATGTTTGGTTGTATAGGAAGAGGTATTTGCAGTAGAAAGAGGGAAGTGCTCATGCCATTGTACAGAACACTGGTGAGACCTCACTTGGAGTATTGTACGCAGTACTGGAGACCGTATCTTTAGAAGGATATTGATACCTTAGAGAGGGTTCAGAGAAAGGCTACTAAACTGGTTCATGGATTGCGGGATAAAACTTACCAGGAAAGGTTAAAGGACAACTATAGGCACCCAGACCACTTCAGCTCAATGAAGTGGTCTGGCTGCCTGGTCCCCCTAGTTTTACCTTGCAGCTGAAAACATAGTTTCAGAGAAACTCCCTGACAGCCACTAGAAGCTGCTTCTGCGATCCTCAATGCGAAGATCGCATTGGGCTCACGCTGGACATCCGTAGGAAAGCTTTGTGTAATGCTTTCCTGTGGGCGGTTTGAATGCACACACAGCTCTGGTCGCGCATGCGCATTGGGAGCTGACGTCGGCAGGGGGAGGAGAGGTCACCGGCGCTGGATTAAGGTAAGTGCCCGTTCAACCCAGTGGGAGGGGGGCTCCGAGGGAGGGGGGGCATAATAACCCTATGCAGAAATCTCTCAATACTGGATTTGTCTCCTCTTCCTGTGCTGCCAGTGTGAGGATGTCAAACGTTGTTTCACAGTGTTAAACTTTGTCATAATCCAGGAAGCGCCTCTCGAAACTGTGTTTCGTTGGCTTGTTACCGATCCTACGATTGGCTTTCTACTCCACTGCTCTTCACTGCACGGCAAGACGATTGCTGCTTGCAATGGATCGCTCCACCAGTCGATCCTATAGACGGAATTACCACTCCGGATCTGACCAATCGGAGGTAGCTAGGGGGGAGGTGATTTATGACAGGAGGAAACTACTGTACTGACTTTTCTCTCCCTGTCCTATTGCGAATGCACGGCAAAACACCCCTCTGATCCAATTAGCATCTCTTCATAGAGATGCATTGAATCATTATTGTTATTATGTTATTTATATAGCGCCATCAAATTCCTCAGCACTTTACAATGGGTGGACGAACAGACATGTAGTTGTAACCAGACAAGTTGGACACACAGGAACAGAGGGGTTGAGGGCCCTGCTCAATGAGCTTAAATGCTAGAGGGAATGGGGTAAAATTACACAAAAAGGTAAGGATAGTATTAGACTAGTGATAGTTGCAGAAGAGGAATCAGTCAGAAGCTATTAACAGTTTAATTGATACGCTTTTATGAAGAAGTGGGTTTTTAACATCATTACATTACACCTCTATGCGGAATGTTCAGCATCTCTGTCTTATTGATTACCAGTTGAGGTGTTCCTAAGCAGGAATGTAAACACTGTCTTTTCTCTGAAAAAGCAGTACTTTCATTGCTGAACCTGCAGGGACAGGTTGTAGACCCCCAAACAGCCACATTAAGCTCTGGTGCCTATAGTGTCCCTTTAACTCTGCAATGTAAACATTGCACTTTCTCTGAAACCACAAGAAGGGGCACTGCACCTAGACTGCTCCAATGACATGAAGTGATCTGGGTGCCTATAGTGTCCATTTAGGTCTTCAATGCATAACCTCTATTGTGCTAGTACCAAAACGCAGGCCCCCCGCAGCTGTTACAACTTGAGTAGTTGGTTTTATAGTTCATAAGTTGTAAATACTTTTATTTATCCTTGTTATACAGTATTTTTAGTTTTGTGGTGTACACTCAGTAGCTAGGCACATACCCACACTAAATGTTGCTCTGTTCCTTCAGTCTTTTTAAGAGGAACATAAGACACCCATATGTTAGATGCAGTGTGTATTGATTAGGTTGCCATTATTAGGGCTCGACCGATTATCGCTCTGGACGATATGATCAGCTGATATTCTGGATTTTATGAGTATCGGCCGATAATGCAGACCAGGACCACCATCAGGGTCCTGGGGGGCCCAGGACACTCTTACTTACGTTCCCAGAAGCTTCCCTGTCTAACTCTAGCGAGTCCCGCGGCCGTCAGTGCGTTGCCACGGGTTACCATGGCAATGCTCTGCACAGCACACAGGCCGCGAGAGTTAGACAGGGGAGCTGCTGGGAAGGAAAGTAAGAGTGTCCTGGGCCCCCTCTGCACAGTCCATGTCACCGGACCACCAGGAAATGCCATATCCCCCCCTCCCTGGCCAAGTAAGAAGCAGGGAGGGGGGACTAAAACATAATTTAAAAAATAAATAAGTAAAGAAAATAAATATGCCCCCCCCATTTTACACACTTACCATACCTACACAAACACTCACTGCACAAACACACACTACACAAACACACACACACACACACACACTTTACATTTATTATATACACACACTACACAAACACTCTGCATTCATTATTTCATTATATACACACATTACACAAACACTCTGCATTCATTATATACACACACACTACACAAACACACACACTCTGCATTCATTATATACATACACTACACAAACACTATGCATTTATTATATATACACACTACACAAACACTCTGCATTCATTATATATACACACTACACAAACACTCTGCATTCATTATATATACACACTACACAAACACTCTGCATTCATTATATATACACACTACACAAACACTGCATCCATTATATATACACACTACACAAACACTCTGCATTCATTATATATACACAGTACACAAACACTCTGCATTCATTATATATACACACTACACAAACACAAACACACTCTGCATTCATTATATACATACACTACACAAACACTCTGCATTCATTATATATACACACTGCATTCATTATACAAACACACACACATACACTCTGCATTAATTATATACACACACGGCACAAACACACACTCTGCATTCATTATATACACACACTACACAAACATACTGCATTCATTATATACACACACTCGTGGCACAAACACACACTCTGAATTCACTACACACTACACACACACACACACACACTACACAAACACACACTGCATTCATTATATATACACAAACACACACTGCATTCATTATATATACACACTACACAAACACTCTGCATTCATTATATACACACACTACACTAACACTCTGCATTCATTATATATACACACACATACACTCTGCATTCATTATATACACACATACACACTGCATTCATTATATACACACACGGCACAAACACACACTCTGCATTCATTATATACACACACTACACAAACATACTGCATTCATTATATACACACACTCATGGCACAAACACACACTCTGAATTCACTATACACACTACACACACACACTGCATTCACTATACACACACACTACACAAACACACACTGCATTCATTATATATACACACTACACAAACACTCTGCATTCATTATATACACACACTACACATACACTCTGCATTCATTATATATACACACACACACTCTGCATTCATTATATACACACACTACACATACACTCTGCATTCATTATATATACACACATACACTCTGCATTCATTATATACACACACTACACAATCACACTGCATTCATTATATACACACACGGCACAAACATACTGCATTCATTATATACACACACTCATGGCACAAACACACACTCTGAATTCACTATACACACTATACACACACACTACACAAACACACACACTGCATTCATTATATACACATTACACAAACACACACACTGCATTCACTATACACACTACACAAACACACACTCTGCATCCACTACACAAACATCCACTACACAAACACACACACGCTGCATTCACTAATCAAATACTCTCACTGCATCCACTACACACACATATATTCTTGAAAACATAAAACATTCTGACTGGCATGTATATTTTGTGCATTTACCTTAATAAAAAAAAAGATTTGCAAACTAAATAAAATAAACATATTCAGTTAACAGTAGATTTGTGTAGAAATAGTTTTTTGTTTTTTAAATGGTAAATGTGCAGAATATCGGTAAGTTATCAGCCTGAAAGTTCACAGATTATCAGTATCGGCTCTAAAAAAATCAATATCGGTCGATCCCTAGCCATTATGCTAGATGGACATTCAAATTAATGTTCTTTTGTAATCAATTGCAGTTTATGTATTTGCAGCAGACTGGATTTTTTAATGTGAGTTATTGTTTTTGTATATATTTTTAACTCATTGCCTATGTAAAGCATAGAAAGGGGTTTATCATGATTTCCTTGGCCCCTTCTCTGTCTGCTAGAATTCTAAATTGTATTGGTAAACAAATACTCTGTCAGTGATGTTGATTTTTAGCCTATTATGTTTATATGCACATTTATGTGCCTTTATGTACGTATACCTATCTATGGTTCTTAGCAGCAATACTCCTCCATGATGTGGATACATTGGTTTTATTGCCACTATGCAGTACTATCATTCAGTGTCTCCACCTTCTGCATGGAGACACTGATTCAATGCATCTCTATGAGGAGATGCTGATTGGACAGGGCTGTGTTCGGCTTTGCCCCTGATCTGCCTCCTTGACAGTCTCAGCCAATCCAACGGGAAAGCATTGTGATTGGCTCAAAACAACATCTGATGATGTCAACCAAGCAGGCAGATTGGGGCAGAGCCAGCAGCTGCAGACTTGAACAAAAGTCAGATTTTACTATGTTTAGGGGGGCTAGATGGTGGTTTTAGGGTAAGAAATACTTGTGTTTCTGACCCTATAGTGTATCTTTAAAACTGTTCAGATCTGTATTTTTTTCAATTTTTATAACATATTTAAGTTGGATCAGATTTTTTTCTAGAGATTGACCGATATTGATTTTTTTTAAAACCGATACCGATAATCTGTTAACTTTCAGGCCAATAGCCGATAACTTGCCGATATTCTGTGCATTTACCATTTTGAAAAAATAAACTATTTCTAAAGGTAAATGCACAAAATATACAAGCCACATGCAGTGTGTTTAGACAGTGGAGCTGTGTGTATTTGTGTAGTGTGTATATAATGAATGCAGGGTGTGTTTGTGTAGTGTGTATAGTTAATACATAGTGTATAGTTAATGCAGGGTGTGTGTAGTGTGTATAGTTAATACATAGTGTATAGTTAATGCAGTGTCTGTGTAGTGTGTATAGTTAATGCAGTGACTGTGTAGTGTGTATGTAATGAATGCAGAGTGTGTGTATAGTGAATGCGGTGTGTGTGTGTAGTGTGAATGGCGAACGCAGTGTGTATATAACATAATGTAGTGTGTGTATATAATGCAGAGTGTGTGGTGTGTGCATTATATACACACACTACATTATCTATACACACACACTACATTACATTATATACACACAACATTACATTATATACACACACTACACACTCTGCATTATATACAGAGTGTGTAGTGTGTATATAATGCAGAGTGTGTGTGTTTTCCTGAAGGGATGTGATTTGTGTAAAATGGGGGGGAGAGGGGTGAAGGCATTTTTAATTAAAATTTTTAATGTTTGTTTTATTTTAATTTTTTGTCCCCCCTCCCTGCTTGTTGCCTGGCCAGGAAGGGGGGCTATAGCAGTCTCTGGTGGTCCAGTGGCCTTGGCTGAGCAGTGGGGGTGCCAGCAACAAGCACTTACTTACCTCTACTGCAGCTCCTCCAGCTCCCTGTATAAATCTTGCGGCCTGCTTGCCGCGCGGAGCATTGCCATGGTAATCCGTGGCAATGCTCTAACGGCCGCGGGTCTCGCGAGATTTATACAGGGAGCTGGAGGAGCTGCCGGGAAGGTAAGTAACAGCTTGCTGCCGGCCCCCTAGGACTGCCGGGCTTGTAATTGGCCCGGCGGTCCTAGGAGGTATAATCGGCAATATCGGTATCTATGGCCGATACCGATATTGCCGAAAATACCAAATATCGTCCGATTATATCAGTAAAACCGATAATCGGTCGATCCCTATTTTTTTGTCATGACAAGTTTGTCATTAGTGGATTCTTTTTTTTCTCTCTTCTGCTTTCTTTAAACTGTTGCATATCTGCATTATTATGGAAATTCTTAAACCTTTCTTTTGCTGTGCCTTTTAAATGAGTTATACCATAAGCCAGGCATAGGCAAACTTCGACACTCCAGATGTTTTGGACTACACCTCCCATGATGCTTTGCAAGCATTATGGTTGTAAGAGATTTAGTCCACATCATCTGGAGTGCCGAAGGTTGCTTATCCCTGCATAGGCTATAATGTTCAGCATACAATCACTTTTCCTTCAACCATACTCAACTGAATAGTTTTTATTGACTTTTTGAACATTTTGCTCACAATCTGGAGAACTTAATTTCTAAGGAAAGATTAAGCTAAGCATAATATCATTCATCTAGTTTTTTTTATTCAATTGGTATGTGGTAGTGAATGTTTTCATACTTTATATCAGAAGCTTTATCCAACAATTATCAAAATGATGCTCTTTGTGGAAGTTTTTTTTTGGGGCGGTCATGTTTTCCGTTTTAAACATTTTCCTATATTTAACCCATATCATGTATTTTTCTTCTATGTGAAGGACATGGATTTGCACTATGGAGAAAACAAAAAGTTCAGCTGGAGTATAAAAAACTGTTAAGAAAGCAAAGGAAGATCAGCGTTGCTAAAGATGATATTTACACTGACAAGTACCCGGAACATTTAAAGCATCTTTACTTGGCAGAAGAAGAGATGTTAAAAAAGCAAGAAAAAATGAAAAGACCAGAAAATAGCACAGAGGAAGCAGCAGATGAGGAAACCCCTAAAATGTAAGTTGCTCATGTGTGGATTTGGATAGTCTGACGTGCGCACTGTAAATCCATGAAGGTTTAATTCCAATGAAAGTAAAAAGATTACTGTGAGTGTTTCAGGGGAAAAAAGTATAAATAGTAAAGCTAATAGGTGCTCATCATACCTGTTGAAAAACGGGGATATTCGTGTAGTTTAATTCTTGCAGTTTGTGTTTTGTGTAAATAAACATAATATATAGCCATCACATGGGCGCACTTGGAAAGTGGAAAACATAAACATAGTAATGTTATTATTAACTAAATACCAAGGGGTATTCAACTCGTATGTTACAGAGTCAAAGATCTTGGCTCGGTCATCACAGACAACTTATTATGATAGCCTATCACCCCACATAACACTATGATTTCTGCCAATATGTTGAATAGTAAGACAACCTGATAGCATAAATTAGTTACTAAAGATTTTATGAAAAATTAAATTTCTATATTTCCTTTGTTTTCTGTTATCTGAATCTACACGGTGGTGTGAAATATCTAGTTAATATTGTTAATCTGGTTTAATCAAAACCTGTTTTGGTCAAGATGATTCTCTTAATTATTTTTCTATATCTTTTAATATGTGGTGTAAAATTTCCATAGTTTTGCCGCTGTTTGATTCTTCAACATGTTTACATTTTATACAGACCTGCTAAGAAGTTCAAAAAGAAAACCTCAAACCAAAAAGCAAAAGAAGAGTATGAGAATGTTCAGAAAGAGCGTGCAAAGAAAAGAGAGGTAAGGGAATTGATCTACTCCATTCAGTGGTGATGCTTGACCTGTTAGCACTTACCTTGGGTTCACCCTGCTCAAACAAGCTTATAGTCTGTAGGAGGTGGGGTGTAAGACACAATAGGGCAGGAATATCAATCAAATAAGGTGGGAGTGAAGCAGCATAGCTGGAGGAGATAGTAGAGTGCTACACGTTAGGAGAGAGCAAGAGACAGGTATGTGAGGTCGAGGTTACTCTGGGAGGCTAGAGGCTTTCCTAAAGAGATGGGTTTTCAGGCACTTTTTTAAACGATTGAAGACTAGGGGAAAGCAAGTGTGAGTTGGCCGTATGGGTGCAAGCAGCGAACAGGAGAAGGTCATGGGCAGAGCGGAGAGACCGAGCAGGGGCATACCTATGGATCTGTGAAGAGATATAAGAGGGGCTATAATTGTTCAATGCTTTATAGGCATGGGTTAGTTCTTTGAATTGACTCCTATAAGATAGAGGAAGCCAATGTAAGGACAGACAGAGGGATGGGGTGTGAGAGGACCGACTAGAGTGGAAAATCAGTCTGGCGACAGCATTCATTACAAACTGTAGCGGTGCAATACGGTTTTTGGGAAGACCAATTAGGGGGGTGTTACAATAATCTATGCAGGAAATTACTAGAGCATGGAAAAGCTCTTTAGTATTCTAGCCCTTGTACTTTACCAGGTTTACTGAGTTATTTTGTTAATTTAGTGTCTGTGTTGTGTTCTATTTTTAATTTTGTTTTCAATGTAACATAAAAGAGTCTTTGTTGTATATTGATTTGAGGCATATGTTATATGTTCACTCTTCACTGGCTGAGAAGCTGTGCATTTTGACAGCTGACATGTTTCTTTGCACTTTCCACCGCCAAACATACATGGTACAGGGAGCTGTCACAAGCTGTTCTTCTCTGTGTCTTGATCTCTAGGAAGCTGAGAAGAGACGGAAAGAAATGGAAGAGGCCCAGGAGCTTTACAAGAAAAAGAAAATAGAATCCTATAAAATATTAAGTGCAAAAACAAAGAAAGGACAGCCAAACTTTAACCTCCAAATGGAACACCTACTTCAAAAGATTCAGCAAAAATCTTAACAAGCGTTTCAATCTACAGTGACTGGTGCATCATCATTGATGCGTTGCAATGTTTCCTCTCATTAGAGGTTGCACCTGTATGGTGGTGTTTTTGTTTTGTAATATTAAAATATAATTGTATTTTTAAAATCGTAACTTTTTACTATATGTTTGTTTTGTCACTATTGATTAAATACATGCAGGTTTTGCAGTTAACAAAACCAATACAAACACAGAATTGGAGATGTGTACTATTTTATTTTTCCCTTTATCGGACATGTTAGACTTTGTCGAGGTGTTGACTTTGCTCGTTCTCAGATCCATATAAATGTGGTGAAAAATAAAGGCTGAAAGATTGACTAATATATATTATTATTATTATTATTATTGCCATTTATATAGCGCCAACAGATTCCGTAGCGCTTTACAATATTATGAGAGGGGGGATGTAACTATAAATAGGACTATTACAAGAAAACTTACAGGAACAATAGGTTGAAAAGGACCTTGCTCAAACGAGCTTACAGACTATAGGAGGTGGGGTATTAGAAACATATCTTTACATTTAATTGTTTTCTATTGAAATAGTAATGTTGCTTGTGGTGTACCATGCTTTTACAAATGACTAAATGATTGCTGCTTTGCAGCTTCTTAAAAATGGTGGTATGCCTTTCAAGGGGTTTAGTGATTGCAACAGCTTTTTCTGTGTTTGCAATTATGAACTTATTAGCATGAAAATTATCAGACAAAGGGTACCTTGATGTTTTCTTTTACCTCATGGATTTCTCATGTAAAATATATTTCGTGTGAGTCCATGCACGAATTGTGTAACCATTTTAAAGAAAGAATGAAAATACGTACCTACTTAATTTGCTGTCTTCTTTGAGTTTTTTTCTTGTTGTTTGTTTGCTAAAATTTTTTATTTACATCTCAAACAAAATATTTGATCGACCTATACACAAAATAGTAAAATATGGCATTGCAGGCATAAGCATGTAGAATAAGGTTTTTCCTTTTTTTTTTGTTTAAATTACTAGACAGATGGCACAGTGCCTATATAACAAAATTAATAAGATAAACATATGCACTGGCTGCTCTTTAAACTAAATATAGAATGACCACAGGGAAGCCTCTTAGAAAAATACTGGTGCACTAGTTCAGTGTTGTTTAATCCGCATGTGAGAGCCTAGTACCGAGCCAGCTAGCCAATTGACTTAACACAGTCATCCGAAGCCCAGGCTAGGTAAGGGCAGAGATATTTTGCAAGGGTCACTTGAGTAGGCATCCCAAACAGGCCCTGGAGTACAACTGTACCTGCCCCGAGCTTGGGAAGGAGGCAACACCTTTGCTCCAAGGACCAAGCGACTAATAGTACTTCAGTCCATCCCCCTTGGAGGTCTGCAAAAGAGACAGGATCAGATTTGCCATTTTCACTATCCTCTTCAGGTTTCCGTCCACTGGCATGGGCGGTGTGTTGAGGACATTCCTTGTATGGCTCTCAGCCCAGGTAGGCTCTACTGTAGAGGTGCACTGCTGCTTATGTAAGAAATGCCTGGCACAAGCATCCAAGACCTTTTTTCCGCGTTGACTCATCTCTCCAGAGAATGCTAGTTTGAGCATTGATTCAATTGTGTCAAATCCCCACTTTGCTAGTGGTCCTTGTGGTTATGTATACTGATTTCTACAAGATTTCGGTATATAGCCTTTTTATAAACACAAGTTTTGTTCTATTTTCAGTTCTAAGAGGGAGAACTGCAGTGCTCGAGTCCTGCAGGAACGCGTGGGAACAGCGTTCCTGCACTTTTTCCAAAGCAGGAACGCAGTTCCCACTAGTAGTCCTGCAGGACCTGCCAGGGCCAATCCTGGGGGGGTGCACCGTGCCCAGGAGGTGGGAAGCTGTGATGTTAATATTCCATATTTATTAAGATTGAGCAAAAACAAGATGACCCAGCATAGAATGTTCTATAACATGTCTGGCCAATATCCAAAGTGGCCTCTGTGCTTGAAAGGAGGATTTGGTGCCAGCGACTGAGTATAGGGATATAGCTTCAGGGAAAAGGTACCGCATGTGTTTGGCATTAAGCCTTGGGTGGTCATGACTGGCCTGATCAACCATAAAGATTACTTAATGCGCATGACATATACATGCTGGGCTGCACTGATAAGAAAACTTGGAAAAGTACAGACTATACATCCCATTGGTAAAAAGGTATAAAAGATGGAGAAACCTGGCACTCCCTTGGAGAACTACCTACCTGTAACACGGACGTGTGTTGCTGATCTTTGCTGTTCCCAGTAGAGAGGGTCCTTCCATGTCTGACTGCATGAGTTCCCCCAGTCGTTTGCAGCAGAGTAACAACTAAGCTTCTCTAATGGTGATGTATATTTAAGCTGTTTGAGGTGAATGCATGCAATAATTTAAATCAGAGTACTACTTATATTGTATTGGGTCCCTTTATGGACAATAAAGTGTGATGTAAATTCTTATATTCAACCTGGTCTCTGTGTGATTTCTCTTTCCTATAGTTCAAGATACTCATCCCGAACTCATCCAATATTGCTTTAAACCTTATTAGGTATTATTACTTTTTGGATATTGGTGTTTCATGAATTTAATGATTAGGCACAACAGAAGCGCCGTGCGGAGCAAGCCGATGGCCTGGCATAGGGAGGCCAGTAGGCCACCTAAGGGCGCCCCCGGAGTGGTGCTTATTTAGCAATGCAGAGTAGGCACCTGCTTGACCCACAGGTAGGTGCCTACTCTGCAGCAATATATTTGGTAGTTCTGGCTCCCAAATGATAGGTGGTAGCATGGGCCATAGCACACATCAAAAGTGATACAAGGATCATAATGCTAAAAAGTTCAATTTATAGTGGAATAGGCAGGTATTTTTAATATGATCTCCATGTGGGAAATATGGGTTGAAATGATTGAAGACAGAGGGAGAAAGTGTCAAAGGAACAGAATGATGGATTTCACACAGAGAGGTAATAGAATAAAGGTGCACGAGTTAGAGTATGATTTGGGGGATTTATAGGCCGAGCTGAAAACACAATGTGTGTGAAAAAGGAATCCGTTATATCGTGTTAATAACCGAGACAGGTTAAAACCTGCATACACAGAAAATGGCACACATATTTGCATTGGACCACAGCAATATAATTTGCACTATTGAAAATGTTTTGTAAAATAGGTAACTGTGTATTTGTGATACTCTTGTTTAACATTAGTGACAATGCAGGTGACTATTTAAATGGGATTTATTCATTTAACCAAGAACTGACAAGGGAATTTAGATAGTTTTGACCAAAGCACTCAAACTAAAATTTTCCCAGTTTGGCCTTTTTGGTCTAAAATGTGCAACTTGGCATTTGACCAGATTTTCCAATTTAGTGATTGAATGCTGGTGTTTTATTGATAAGCAGAACCAGGAGAGGAGACTCATCGTGAAACTACACAATAAGACCGTTGGTGACTAGTGCCATAAGCAGTCCTCATGGGCATTAGCATGCAGCTTACATTTAACCTTTCTGTATTGACGTGAGTCTTGCTGCAATCAATAGGACTCCCATGAGACCACATAGCCAGTCTAGTCAACTGAAACTCCCTTAAAATAACGTCGGCCTGATTCAATGCACGTCTAAATTCTGTGATCATCTTATTTTAAATTAATATTACCATAATGATATGTTGTTTTAGAGCTGAATGTCGGGAATGTTTGTATTATAAGCCGGCTGGAATGTTCTCATTAGTAGAAAACAAAAGACAAGCCAAAGTACATTCTATTCATCTTTAATGGTTTTTAATCCCTTAGTGTTATTATATAATGGAACATAATGTCTGCATTTTATGTTTCATGCAAGTTCTAACTTGCGCATTGTTCCTATTCAAATCTTAGTATTACCAGTTATATATGTCTTACTTTTGTGCTTATTCAGTAAATAGTGATTTGTGTTGAGGTGACTACTGTCTGGAACAATTTAGCTTTTTAATTACATTTAAAATTCACCTCAACCCAATAAATAGTTGTTTTATATTAGAAACCTCCCAGCTATACTGGATGTGGAGGGACAGTCCTGATTTCTGACCCCTGTCCCAAATTCTAGAAATTGCACATTGATATTCCAGGACATTGTTTACCTGTGTGAGCATTCTATGTGAGGTCAGCTCTAGTTTTGCTGGCTTGTGGGGAGAAAATATTTTACCTAAAAACAGGATAAAATACAGGTGGATTGGCGCTGAATAATATAATAAAGTATCAACAATCCCCCAGTGGCGGAAAATCACTCCAAAGACACTACATAAATAGTAAAAACAAAAGCACAGTGAGGAGGGTGCAAAACACACAATAATTAATACTTAGAGATGTGAGATCTCTTGATCATTCTGTAAAAGACAGTATGAAAATGGACATCGCATAATACTGCATATAACAACAATTAATCTATAGTAGATGTAATGGGTCACTCACGCTTTAGAGCCTTAGAAAGCAGGCTCTAGCTGTATCAGCAGTTGAATAATTAGCTTATTCGAGCTATCACCACAGTATCTTGATATCCTTCTTCTTCAGGTAAGTGTAAATCAAACAATATTGGATGAGGTAGGTAAGAAGATTTACTTCAAAATAAAAACAATATAATAAAAGACAGCAGCGAGAGCTGTTAAAACAACACAATAAAGTTGTATCTTATTACTCATCCTATACAGACTTTCCCTTCTCTGAAACTCATTTTCATACTTTATAACCACCCATTCCATAGTGGAAGGTCTTTCCTATCTTTTTAAGGAGCACTATCTATACACTTAACATTTCATGTTAATGAATTGGTGATTCTGTCCCTCTATTCGGTATTGAATCATTTTTGAGCAGTTTAAAACTGGGTGAGGACACTGGAGGCACAGGTAAGTCAAAGACTACACACTTCCTTTTCCACCCCAATCCACACTCTCAGCCAATCACTGCTGCTCGGACTACTGTCTACCTCATTAGCCAAAGCAGCACAGAGGAAATACCTTTAAAATGGTTTAACACTGATTGGAAGAACAGAGTCACAGGGCTGCTGACATCGCAACCACTTCAATTATATAAAGCGAGCCTACAGTGTCCTTTTAACCAACATTCCTATCTCCTTAGCTTTTTCTGTCTTCCCTTACATTTAGCCCTTTGTTTGTCTTCCCAGACCTTTTTCCAGCATTCTATTTTTTCATCTTTAAATTCCTGCACATCTTTCCTTCATAAGTCCTGTCTAATTCTCAATAACCATTCTTTTGCTAGGCCCATTTTTCTGTTTTCTGAATCCTTATTTGTCATGCCACACATTAGTTACCTTCTTTTAATGTCAGGCCTTTTTGCTCTTTAGACCCACTTTACATTATCCAATTTCCCTTTCTTTGCAGGACAGCCACTTTTAATGCATTACAGAAGATGTAGTCTACAACAGCTGGAATGTTGAAGGTTGTCTATCCTTGCTCCATACACTATAACTATTGCATCTCATTGAATTTGTGAGAGTGCCTGGAGTTACCTGTCTCTGACACTCCATTCAGTATTAACCTATATTTTATCAATCTGGTGTCCTCATGATGTCTTCTTGTCCTGCAAAGCTGAACCGAACATATCTACTGCACTGTTTGAATCCCTTCTTCCTTCTCCCATGCATTAGTGATAAGGAACAAGGTGGGATACATAACCACAATCCAGAAACTCAACATCTGCTGGCATCACAGGCAATTCCCCATTGCAGGCCTTCTCTTTCCATTCCACTGCTGTCCCAACTTTATTCCTTCCAATGTTGGAAGATCTCATCATCACGAATTGAATGTAAAATAAAAAAAGCCAAAGATATAGGAAACTATATTTCTGCACCTACTTTCTGCACATCTGTTTATGACTCATTCCAACCATTCTCAACACAGAACAGACATGCCTTTATTTCTAAAATACCTGTAAAATCCATGCACTTATTAACCGTCATGTTTCCTTTATGTTCTTGAACCTGACTGAATAACACATGCACATAGTAAGCATGCTGTGGCTGTAGGTATCAGGCAAGAGGCCCCACAATCACAGCCTACTGAAGAGCCTTCTATTCTGTGGCGGATCCAGGGGGGGAGGGGGGGACAATTGCTCCCCTCTGAGATTCTCCCCTGCCGGCTAATGCAGGGATGGCATGGTCCAAGTGCCAGTCCTGCAATGTGCCTTCACAGACCGGAGGGGAGATCAGAGATCTCCCTCCCTAGTCCTGCCCCACAAACACTGCCCCCCATACACACATTGCCATACATACACACATTGCCCCCCCACACACACGTACACTGCCCCATACACATACTGCCCCACACACACATATAGTGCCTCCCATACACACACTGCCCCACACACACATACAGTGCCCCCCAAACACACACTGCCCCAAACACACATACACTGCAATCCTCTCACACACACACACTGCCTCACTCACATACACACTGCTCCACACATACACTGTCCCCTAACACACACACACTACAACCCTGACATACACTGACACCCTCGCGCACTCACACTCACTTCACCGCTCACACACACACACTGCACCTTTCACACACACTTTGCCTCACACATACCACTGCTCCTATGCCCTATATCCCAGCAGACCCCAGGTAAGTTGTCAAACTGTTCTTAAACCGTTTGACCACTTACTCTGGGATGGGATCCTGGCACTACTGGCACCATAACTACTACACTGAGCTACACAATAGTGCTTATTGTGCCTGGATTATTTCCTTAAATAATCTACAAGTGCCCCTCCCGAGATCAGACTCTGGATCCGTCATTGCTTCTGTTATTGATCATTCTCCAAGTATCTGGTTCAAGGTACACTGTCACCATAACCACTACAGGTCAAATTAGTTACTGCATTATCAGTGCAACCAAAGAGAGTTTTCTCAGGGTTTTCTTTTTAGGTTTTTTTAATACTCAATTCGACAAAATAAAAATAAAAAACATGGTGCGTTGCTCATAAACATAGCAATACTTACAATGAATTGTAGTGGTTACAATGCTTAGAGTTCCCATTTCAGCTTGTATCCACTCAAATCCGCTTTGGAGTCCATTTTGAAGGATACATTCATGTACTGCAACCTGAAAAAAATGAAGTGTTTTCAAATATAAGTTTCAGTTACATTGTATTAACCTTTAGAAAGAGTTGTATTTGAAAAGCATTTTTAATTTTATCTATGGTTGTGAAACATAACACCATCCACACTTCAGATTTATATTTACTGCAGTGTCTGAGCCCAGATTAATGAGCCACAGTATTATTCAGTGGGTTCTGGGTTCTGTATTTTGCACACACGTAAGAATGCCAATCAGGAATCTCTTGCTTTTAACTGTGATTGATGCTAGGACATCATTAACTTTCATTGCCCAGGTTTCTAGCAAATGTACAATCTTGGAATTTATTCAGGAAAACGAGCATAACACATTTTCAGTCAATTAATTATGATGA